ACAGTATTTGTCTGGTTTACTTAGTGTAACGTCCTCCAGGTTTGTCTGTTGTCACAAATGGTAGGAGCTCCTTTGTTACGGATGAATAATCTTCCATATATGTGTATATGTAGGCCACATTTTATTTATCCATTTATCCAAAAAAAGACAAAGGTTGTTTCTATATCTTGGCTACTGTCAATAATGCTGTAGTAAACATGGGAGTGCAGATCTCTCTTCAAAACACTGATTTCGTTTCCATTGGATAAAGACCCAGAAGTGGGATTGCTAGACCATATGGTAGTTCCATTTTTTAAAAAATTTTCTGAGGAACCATCATACTGTTTTCCATAATGGCTGTATCGATTTACATTCCCATCAACAGTGTACCAGGGGTTTCTTTTCTCCATATACTTGCCAATAATTATCTCTTGTATCTTTGAAACAGGAGTGAGGTGATATCACAGTTTTTTCCATTACATTTCCCTTATGATTAGTGATATTGAGCACCTTTGTATGTACTTGTTGGCCATTCGTATGTCTTCTTTAAGAAATGTCTATTCAGGTCATTTCCTCAATTTTTACTTATTTAGGTTTTGGTATTGAATTTTATGAATTCTTTATATCTTTTAGAAATTAACCCGTTATCAGATATAAGGTCTATAGATATTTTCTCCCACTCCATAGGTTGCCTCTATTTAGTTTCTTTTGCTGTGCAGAAGCTTTTTAGTTTGATAAATCTCATTTGTCTGTTTTTGCCTTTGTTTCCTGTGCTTTTGGTGTCATATTCAAAAATCTTTGCCAAGACTGATGTCAAGAAGCTTTTTTTACTATATTTTCTTCGACTTTTAAGGTTTCAGGTCTCACAGTTAAGTCTTTAATCCATTTTTTATCTGAGTCAATATTTGTGAGTGGTGTAAGAAAGTTATGCAATTTCATTCTTCCACACGTGGTTATCCAGTTTTCCCAGTGCCATTTATTAAAGAGACTAACTTTTCCTCATTATGTGTTTTTGGTGCCCTTGTGAAAGATTAGTTTACTGAAATGTGTAGGGTTATTTCTGGACTCTCTCTTCCATTGGCCTACATGTCTTGTTTCTATGCCAATACTATATTGCTTATTTAACTGTAGTTTTGTAATATAAATCGAAATTAGGAAGTGTGATGCCTCCAGCTTCATTCCTCTGGCTCAAAATTATTTTGACAATTCAGGGCCTTAAATACTTCCATATAAATTTTAGAATTATTCTTCCTGTCTGTAACAAATGGCATTGGAATTTTGATAGGGACAGATTTTATCTGTAGATTGCTTTGGCTAGCATGGCCATTTTAACAACATAAATTCTTCCAATCCATGAATATGGGATCTTTTGTGTCTTCTTTGCTTTCTTTCATTAATGTCTTATTTTCATTGTACAGGTTTTTCACCTCCTTGTTTAATTTTATTCCTAAGTATCGATGCTAATGTAAAAAGAAAATTTTCTTTCAGGTAGTTTGTTGTTAATGTGTAGAAATAGAACAGATTTTTGTATATTTTTTATGTTCTGCAACTATATTGAATTTGCTAGTTTTAATGTATATATGTGTGTATATATTTATTTGCTGGAGTCTTCAGGGTTTTCTATGTAAGATCATGTCATTTGCAAATGCCATTTTAATTTTTTCTTTCCAGTTTGGACTCCTTTTCTTGCATAATCGCTCTGGCTAGGATTTCAAGTATTAAGTTGAATAAAAGTGATAAGTAGGCATCCTTATCTTGTTCCTGGTCAAGGGGAAGTTTTCAGTGTTTCACCACTGAGTATATTAGTTGTTTCTTGTCATATATAGCCTTTTTATGTTAAAATATATACCTTCTATACCTAATCTGTTGAGAATTTTTATCATTAAAGAATGTTTTATCAAATGCTATTTAATATTAAGATAAACATCTTTCTGTTTTTCATTTCTGAAAGGCAGCTTTGCCAGATAAAATATTCTTGATTGAAAGTTTTCTTTCTTTTAGCACTGATATATCATCCCATCTCTCCTGGCCTTCAAGATTTCTGCTGAGAAATCCATTTATAGGCTTATGGGGTTCACCTGTATGTTTCTTTTGCTGCTTTCAGAAATCTGTCTTGACTTTTGACAGTTTTAGAATAAGAAATCTTGATGAAGATTTCTTCAGGTTGAATCTATTTGGGGACTTAAAAGCTTCATGAACCTGGATGTCTAGATCGCACCTCAAAATTTGGGAAGTTTCAGTCATTATTTCTTTAGATGAGTTTTCTGCTTCTTTCTCTCTCTTCTTCTGGAACTCCCATACTAAGTTATTTTTCTTGATGGTGTCCTATAATTCACATAAGTTTTTTTTTTTTTAATTCATTTTTTTCTTTATTACTAGATGATTTGAAATGATTCATTTAAAAGTTCAGATTCTTCTGCTTGATCTAGTCTGTAGTTGATGTTCTCTATTGCATTTTTAAATTTCATCCATTGTATTCTCCTGCTCTGGAATTTCTTTGGTTCCTTTCATGATTTCTCTGTGCTGAACTTCTCATTTTGTTTGTGTTATTTTCCTGATTCCATTGTCTATTTGTGTTCTCTTGTACCTCTTTGAACCTCCTTAAAACAATTAATTTGAATTGTCAGGCAATCTAAAAATCAGTGGAAAATTGTGTTCCTCCATATCATGTTTTCTTGATATTTTGTATTCCTTGGAGTCTTGTTACTGTTTTGCATTTGAAGCTTTAGTTAATATTCCATTTTCTATTGAGTAGCTTCGGGAGAGAAATACTTTAACTTGTCAGCCATGCTGGGGATATTAAGGCTTTCTCACACCTTTTCTATGGATGCATCTGTTCCACACTTGATGTTCTCTTGAGGGAGGGGATTATTAAGATTTTTTCGCCTTCTCTCAATCCTACAAAGTCAGGCTATGTGCTGGAAGCCTTACATTTGCTTTTCCTAGGGTTATGCTGTGAAATGATCATGTGTGTGCGCTCTCTCCCAATCCTGTTGTCAAGCCAGCATCTTGCATGTGTTCACTGTCTAAAAAAATCTCGTACTTGCCACCCACAGGGAGCTGGCCACTGCAGTGTTGGGGGTGGGGTGGGGATGATAGTGATGGTGATGTTTGGGTGAGGTATGAAGTGCGTTGATGGTGCCTGTGGTATAGTTGGGGGAATCTACTGGTGAGGCATCCTAGCAGCTTATGGGCTGGCCTGCTCATGAAGCTTGTGAAATGGTTAGTAAGAGCTGTGTCCCTATATGTTTCTAAGTTCTGTCCACTGTGCTCTCAGTGTCTCCCTGCCCCTCAGCCCTGCAGGTCACTTCAGTATCCTGCGTGAAGCAAAAAAAAAAAAAAAAAGTGGGCCTCCTTGGCTGTGCCCCATACAGTTGTGGAAACTGGGCACTCACTTTACTCTCACCTTCCACCATGGGAGAAATTGCTGGCTTAGGGTGATGCCTCTTTGTATAGTCCCCCTATCCCTTTTTTGTAAATTGGCCATTCTGAGTATTATGACAACTCTGGAAATTGGATTCTGCTCCCTCTACAGAGTTAGTTTTTGTTCTTTGTTGTGGGTTATAGTTGTTTAGTGATTGTTTTTGTAAAATCTGTATTCTTTGTCACATGTGGTCTCTAAAGTTCCTCTTTCATTAGCTTAGTGGTACTTAGGGATTTGACAGAACTTTCCTTCAATGCCTGGAATCAAAAAGAGGAAAAAGAAAATACTATCTTGATCTCTGCAAATCGGCTCTCCATTGGGGCACCCCTCAACACTTATCCAGGGTGTTTTCAACCCTGCTTTAGCCTTCACTTCCAGCTTGGGCCGGGTGTAAAAATTATTAAGCGGTAAAAGCTTAAGGTCTTCTCAGGTCTTTTATGAGCATGCATCCTGCCCTGAGTAGGGCATGTCCTAGATTCCTTAGACTATGTGGGAATTTCCCAAAGCCCTTATTTCCCCAAGCATTTCACTCCCCAGCTTATCCTCCCAGGCCTTCAGCTGAGTGTTTGTTGTTTGTCCCAACTGTTATCCTCCTCCCCGACACCCGCCCCCCGCCCCGGCAGCAGCATGTTTGTTTACTTTTCAATATTTTAGAGAAACACCTTCTGTGCATGGCCACTTTTCCGCCCTAGAAAATTCTGGGTTAGGTGAAACAAAGGGAAACCCTTGCATCAGTCCTACTGGGAGTCTCCATACAGGTCTAAACAAACACCGTTCCTTGGGAACAAGGTCATCCTGTTCCCTCTAGAACCAGGCACCCATACCAGTAATACAGCTGCCATTTTCAAACCACTGTGATTGGGAGGTAGGGAGGAAGAGTAAGATAAAATGCCATTAAGCTATCCTACTGAATTTCAGTCACCTTTTTATTATTGAAACATTCACACTTGGTTGCTGTAAACCTTTCACTATTTTCCAGACTTTCGACAAAATTGATTCTGACAATTTTTGCTAGTTTTTCTAGTGTTTCTATGGAGTGAGTCTGTAGAGTTCCTCACTTTGCCATTTTCACGGGCATATACGCATAATTTTTAATGGAAGTAGATATACACAAACATTTGGCTGAACGCAACATGATTTTCCTGTTATAGTGTGAATGTGATGCTTTATTAAAACTTCGTATAAGTATTTAGATTCTAGTTACATGGTGTGAACGTTTGTATGTGTCATACACTTAAGATAAAAAAAGTATACAAAATTAATAAATGATACTCATTAATTAAATAAGGGAAGATAGGTGCTAATATGTATATACCTGTACCTTTTGAATGTGACAAATTTCTATGCTAACATTTTCCCCACTATTAGAAAAAATAGTATTAGCTATATTACTGGTCTCACCCAGCATAGCTTCTTGCTGGAGGATGAAAAACATCTTGTTTTCCTATTTTAAATTTAATGAGCTCTGTGGACTCTGAGGAACATTAAATCTACAAGAGTCCATTCAAACTTTTTGTCCCTAGATGCTCTAGCTAATGTGTTTTCTCCTATCACCAGTCATGCTTAAAACACAATGTTTAAAACAATTGTCTCAAAATAGTATATCATGCTTTATTTAGAATAACCCCACTCTCCACGTAACCTCAGGGAGGTTCTCATAATAGCAAGAAAGGGAATACTTATCAAGCTCCATGGTTACAAGATCTAATCTCCCCAAATCACCATGCATGCTGACAAGGGATATTACTTTATGTCCAAAAGGAAATTACAGTAAACACACAAGACTATTGGGCTTATTCTTGTGACTATCTAATGTGAGGAACACAGTGGTGAGCAAAATGCAACATGTTATTCATCAGATATTACTATAAAATGAAGCTCCTTTAGATGGAATTTTACATTAGGATCTTTCCCTTCAACTGAGAAAAGTAATTTTAAGAATCCTAAATAGAGATTGTTAAATATGTAATCAGATTTTAAGGGTATCTCTAATATAGTGAATCAGGTTTAAAAGTGACATTAGAAGGTATAACATACCACGTACAAATTTTTCAATTTAAATGGTTTGGCAAAGGTAAAGTATTATATAATGTATGTGATTTTGGACGTTACATTCTGAAAGCAAACTATATTTGAGCCTTTTTTTTTCTAGTTTTGCCTGTAGCACTTTATAATAACGACTTATCTTTGGACAGTTTATTTCCCTCTAGAATCACTTCCCTAACGTAACAATTGCCTATAGAGAAACAACAGCTTTTTAAACTATGGAATTCTGAAAAAAAAAAAAAAAATTGTTTTTATAGTGGCTCATAATTAATGTTCAGCGGAAGTCATATAATTTAGGCTGAAAACTTTTACTAATCTGGGATAAGGACGTTCTTACCTGAGTTACAGTATCTGAGAACTAAGTGACTTTGGTCATGATTAAACACTATTAAGCTTTATAGAGAGATTAAATGTGAGTTAATATCATTTAGTCAATTACATACTAACTGGAAGATAAGAATTTCAAGCTTAAATAGGACAAACAAAATTATAATACATAAATGTTATTTGCAAAATCTGGCCTCAAACTCCAATTGTAGTGTCTGTTCTGAATGAACTTTAGGTCATGTAAAACTACTCAATGGATTAAGATTTACAGATCAAGTGATACCAAGGGAAAGGCATTAAAGAAATTATTATGATCAATTATTACTCTTCCATAAATGGTATTCCAATACTAAATTGAACAGTCTTTGAACAAGAAATGGGAAATTAATGTGGGTTTTAATAACAGATTTGAGAATGTGATAAATTAAACATAGTTCAGAATTAAGTAACTTTCACTATCGAATACCATTCTGTTTGGAAAAGATAGCTTTCTTCCTGCTAGCACATGTGCTGTCCCGATATTTAACTTAACATGCCCCTATAGGCTTTTATAATTCCCATTCTTTATTGAATTTCATAGGTACAAAATAAATAAATTCAGTGGATGCGCACCAGTTCCTGTCTGAGAATATAGCTGTAACTTCCAACTAACAAAGTTCTCTATGGTCTATTATTTGGATCTTAATGAAAATTAGATAGCAAAGCCTAAAGAGGAACAACAAAAAGTTTATTGAACTGACTAAATAACTGTGTTTTTAAATCCTTCTTTGTGTAGTACCACTGAACATAAAAACTTCGGGTTTGAGAGTTTGAAAGCCCAGCAATGAGCTCTTGTTTTAATTTTTAGCTTTCGGCTTTTAGTACTTATGTCAGACAAAATTAACATTTCCTAATTTACAGAATTGTGAAGAAAAAAAAAATTCACATATGCAAATGCACTTTATAAACTAAAACAGGATATACAAATAATAATCATTAGACTCCTGTATTTGGTTTTCAAGAAAGCTTCACTGAGTCACTCATATTAGGGTAACTAATCTTTATCTGGATTCAGAATGAAGTTTGGATAGCAAGCTTTTCCATACAACACAAGGGGAGAATGGCCATAGTAGGTTGGTTTTGTGATTACAGATATGGATTCCTGGATGACACCAATACAGTTGAAGAGGAATTAATTCCTAGCTCTGGTGTGCTGCTTCCATTACCTGATTCCTTTGAGGCATATTGATTTAGGCATGTTTGCTTTCGATTTATAACCTGGGAAGAACCTCCATTTCCCAGGTCAGGCATCCAAGTTGTAGGTACTGTTCATCCAGTTCCCTGTCCTATACACCTTTATCTAGTTATGATTAATAAGAACAAAACACTATTTGTAACCATACACAACCTTTATACTGGAACCGCAGTAAGTTTCATTTTTCAGTATACAACATTTTCATGCATATACCTTATCACTGTACAACCTAAAGAATTCATTAAGATACATTTCCCTTACTAACACTGTAGTTTTCTTTACTAATGAGTGAACAGTTCTAATGCATGGATTCATAATTACATTGTCATTTATTTCAGTCCTACAGCATACACTGAATATAATATGCTTGAAAAAACATTTCAATGTTTCCCTTTGTTCTTTCCAGTGCTAATATTAAATTTAACCATCCAATTCTATAAATTAAATTTACTAGTAAGTCATACATTTAAAAAATTTTACAAGAATAAGCTAGGTTATCACAAGAAAACAAGGAAATGAACATAAGAGTTGAAACTAGTATGACAGGAACACTATCTTCATGGTAAACATTCACTTTATGGAAATCCCACTTGGCTTCATTTAATTAAAAAGCTGAAAAAGAAAGAAAATTATTATGCACTTAACAAAATATGCTTTTTATTCCATTCTAAATTAGTACATATAAATAAAACAAAAATGTCATAATTATATTAATCCATCTCATTCTAATTTCTATATTAGGTTAATTTCTATGAACTAGTTCCTGTAATGGGGTCAAGGTTGTGGTGAGAACAGGGCAGGTTGGGATAATATGCAAATAAAAATTTGAACTTTTTAAGCTTGAGTTTAACACCCTATTTTTATGAGCCACTCTCACTGCTGGCTAGATCAGTAGTTAAATCAGCATTTAAGCTGGTAATGTAGGGGAAGTAAAGGGGAATGGACTGAAACAAATATTCAAAGTGGATCATTTAAATGTCCTAAAGAAAATATTTTTTTTCTCATCATTTAATATATAATTCATTTACTTATGTAAAATAAACACTTGATTTTAAAACAAAATTTATAACTTCATTATATGGAACAGCCAAAAATATATACACAAATCATAAAAGTATTATGAGATTCTGCTGTGTTTCAACATATACATGCTTGTATATACAGAAATAAAGTAAAAGGTATTTTTCTTTTAGTTATATTGTAAGCAAAAGCTTTTATCTATGAACAGCAATATATTTAAGTTTGTAAAATAATGAAGTCAATTTAAATAACATTTACTAAGTTTTTGTGGTATCTGTAACTTTCTGCTAACATGTGACAAGTTTAAATCTTAACGTAACTGTAGGGCATGAGACATCAATTTTTAACTAAATATCAAAACAAAAATGAAATTAATGAAAAGCCATATAGTTGGAAAACTAGTAAGTTTAATATTTGGATGTTTAAATTATATATATTTTAGGCATATATTTCTTTGTCTTTCTGAACCTCAGTTTCCTCATCAGTGAAAAGAACGCTTAGTTTGGATGATCTCCAAAGTTCTTTTCAATGCTAATAGTTTATGATCTTGGTGATACTATGTTAAAAGTAAATATTTAAAATATTTTATTATAAAACA